GCTTGCTGGAAATCCTTCAATGCCTTCTCGCTGCTCTTCCGATGAAGCCCAAAGTCCTTGTGGTGGCATGAAGTAGTCCTGCCTGCCACTTAGCTCTTTCCTTTCCCTCTGTGACTTGTGGACACACTGGTTTTCTTTCAGTCTAACAGGCTCACTAGCCACTGTTCTGCCCCAGGACCTTTGCACACACTGTTCCTGCCCTCTCTGTCTAGTTAAGTCCTCCTCGCCCTCCATATGCCTTCCCTTTAGACTGCAATGCCAGCATATAACTATTCCTGCTTCTGTGGGATCCTTCAACCCACATACCTCTCTCCTAGCATCTTCCTGATTGCAGGGACTGTGTGTTGCCGTATTCTCAGACTTGCCTCAGTGCTGGGGCTCCAGGTAAATACTTGCGGAATGAATGAGTGGTAATAACAGCAAAAACTAGTTCTTAACCAGTAGAGGAAACTAAGTGAGGGTCTGATTTCAAAATTAAAGCTTCCTATGGCCATTAGGGAAAAATACCCTTTACAGGATGCAGGAAAAAAATCTGGAGGGCAAACCCCTGCAAATATCAATATTGACTATTCCTGAGTCATACGATTACAAAGTAACTTTTGTTTTCTTCCTCACACTTTGCTTTCTCCCAGTTTAAAAATAAAAACACAATAAACGTGTAACTACCTTCGATTATCAGAGAACGTAAATGATTTCAGAATATCATATGGATAACGAAAATGATCTATCAGCCTTGCAAATGAATTTAAATCTTTAGAAGCAAGGATTCTAAGTCTTTAGGATTTATCCAGGTAAACAAACCGTCCTTTTTTTTATTTGCTAAGTGTAACGGCTGGGTAATTTCGAGGCTGTTTTGTTTTTTTGTTAAATTTTAGATTCCTGAGATTTATTTAATGGAATGACTTCTAGTGTAACAAATAACACCAGTGATAAGTTGATCGTTGAGTTACTACTCAGTGGGCCCCACAGCTGAGCAAGCGAGATTCTTAGGTGAATCAGAAATCCCTAGGAAGGCAGCAGAGGGGTAATTTCCACCTCATCTTATCTTAGAAAATGGAAATATACTGACATGCTGATAGGTTTCAGTTTTTCAAAACAGGCCTGTGTCCCCTACATCCCTTCTTAAAGCAAATCTCCTCTCCCAAATGAAATAAGCTTTGGGAGGAGGATTTGTCCAAGAGACGATAGAAAAACCCATTAGAAGTCTATTCACGAAGCATTTGGCAATTCATGCATCATCTGTTCTCCAGGGAGCCAACAGAAGCTCAGGCTTCTGGAAATGCAACTGATTCCTTCATAAATCAATGTGACTGTTGCTGATGGTGGTGACTTACTTTTTAAACTACAGTTGAGGAGCAGTAAACAGTCAATTGTTTTTATACAATAAATGCCACTCAATTTCTGCCTGTATAATATTGTTCCTGTTAGTTCCCAGTTTGTTAGTATCGGTGGGTGGCCCCTGAGAACTCCTCTCAGTCTCCATGGGTCACCATCATAATAATGACACTGGTATCCTCTACTTAGCACCCTGTGCCAGGCACGTTACATGCATTTTCTCATTTAATACCCACAACAACCCTGGGAGGTAAGTGATTCACAGACACAGGGAAAATGAGCTCAGAGTGATTAAGTAATTTTCTTGAAGTCACACAGCTAGAGCAATGCCTAAAGAGATTCAAATTTAGATCCCTCTCCCAAGCCTGTGCTTTTAGAAATTATTATACTTTTCTAATATCATAATCAGGTTCAAAACAGAGATCCTTGTATTTACCAAACAGAAAGTGAATCAACCTAAAAAATGTATCTTTCATTATGATGCAGAGGAAATTGCAAATCTTTTGCTTTGTTTTCCTCACTTTGTGCACTGAACAGTAGCGGGTATGTGTCCTTGTCAGCAGACTACATCCTGGATAAGAGTCTCCAGTGCAGGTAAGGTGAGTTATTCTCAAATCCGTAGAGTTTATGACAAATGCTCTCAGAAAACTAGAAATAGAGGGGGAACTTTCTCAAGTTGATCAAAATGATCTGCCAAAAACCTACAGTAACACCATACTGAATGGTGAAAGACTGAATGCTTTTCTCCTAAAATCAGAAACAAAGCAAATATCAACATTTATACTGCTCTCACCAGTCTTACACAACAGAGTACTAGAAGAAGTTCTGGCCAATGCAATATCGCAAGAAAAGGAAATTAAAGGTACACAGATCAAAAAGGGAAAAGGAACATTGTTCTTATCTGCAAGTGATGACATTGTTATTTACATATCCTATCCCAAGAAATCTACAAAACACCTTGAAGAAAATTCAGTCACGATTGCACAATACCCCATAAGCATACAAAAAAATCAACTGTATTTCTGTTAAGTATCCATCACCTGGGTAAGCAAATAAAAGTGAAAATAAAAAATCAACTGCATTTCTATATACCAGCAATGACCAGGTGGACATTGAAATTAAAAGTATGATACTATTTATCATAGCTAGCAAAAAAAAAAAAAAAAAAAAGAAAGAGAAATACTTAAGCATAAATCTAACCAAACATGTATAGGACTTGTAGGCTTAAAGCTATAAAACACTCATGAACAAAACTGAAGAAGAAACGTACCATCTTCATGGAATGGAAAACAACATAGTAAAATAGCAATTCTTTCCACGTTGACATATAGGTTTAAATAACATTTCCAGGGTGGCGCCTGTGGCTCAAAGGAGTAGGGCGCCGACCCCATATACCGGAGGTGGTGGGTTCAAACCCAGCCCCGGCCAAAAAAAAAAATTAAATAAATAAATACCATTTCTATCAAAATCCCAGCAAGATATTTTATAGCTAGAGAGAGATTTATTCTAAAACTTGGAGGCAGGCTTGGCACCTGTGGCTCAAGTGGCTAAGGCGCTAGCCACATACACCTAAGGTGGCAGGTTTGAATTTAGCCCCGGCCGGCTAAACAACAATGATGGCTGTGACCAAAAAAGAAATAGCCAGCTCGGCGCCTGTGGCTAAAGCAGCTAAGGTGCCAGCTTCATACACCTTAGCTAGAGGGTTTGAATCCAGCCCAGGCCCACCAAACAATGATGGCTGCAACCAAAAAATAGCTGGGCATTGTGGCGGGCACCCGTAGTCCCAGCTACTTGGGAGGCGGAGACAGGAGACTGGCTTGAGCCCAGGAGTTGGAGGTTGTTGTGAGCTGTGATGCCACAGCACCCTACCCGAGGGGACAGCTTGAGGCCCTGTCTCAAAAAAACCCCCAAAAAACAACAACAAAAAAAACTTGGAGGCAAAGGAGTTAGAATAGGTAGAACAATTTTGAAAATGAAGAATAAAATGAGAGGAATCCCTCAGTCTGATTTAAGCGATATGTAGCTATAGTAGCCGAGACTACATCATCTTGGTAGAGGGACAGACACACAGATCAATGGAATATAACAGAGTACTCAAAAGTAGCTCTCACACAAGTATAGCCAAATGATTTTTAATAAAAATGCAAAAGCAATTCAATGGAGAAAGGACTGTCTTTTCAAGAAAGACAACTGGATATACATAGGCCCAAACAAAAAAGAACCTTGACCTAAAACTCACATTCTATATAAAAATTAACTCATAATGGATCATAGATTTAAGTATAAAAGTCCAAAACTTTTAGAAGAAAACAGAGGAGAAAATCTTCAAGATCAAGGACTTGGTGAACTGTTCATAGACCTGACACTTGAAGAAAAGGGAACAAAAATCTCAGTGTTAAAATGCCACACTGCCAAGCACAGTGGCTCATGCCTGTAATCCCAGCACCCTGGGAGGCCAAGGCAGGAGCTTGAGTCCAGGAGTTGGAGACCAGCCTGAGCAACATAAAACATTCTGTCTTTACAAAAACACCTACAGTCCCAGCCACATGGGAGGCTGGGGCAGGAGGACTGCTTGGCCCAGGTGTTTGAGGTTGCAGTGAACTACGATGATGCCACTGCACTCCAGCCTGGGTGACAGAGTGAGACCTTGTCTCACATACACACACACACACACACAAAGAAGAAGAAGAAGAAAAAGAAAAATCACACACTGCATAATGTCATTTATTCATATGATATTTTCAAAATGATAAATCAGAACAGATTAGTGGTTTCCAGGGCTGAGGGATGGTGGGGAAAAAGATACTGTAGCTATAAAGGGGTATCGCAGGGGAGAGCTTTGATACTGGAATAGTTCAATATATGGATTGCTCAGTATGAATCTACACATATGATAATATGACATAGAATTATACACACTATACCAATGTCGATTTCCTGGTTTGATATTGTTATAGTCACATAATTTGTCACCATTGGAGGGAACTGGGTATAATTTCCAAATAAAGGGTTAAAAAAGTCTATTGTCTAGAAGACACCTGCTTTTCACAGTTACAAAGAAATTGCATTGCTTTCTCTGTCCATTTTGATATTTTAACCTCCCTCAAGATTGAAAAAGGCTCAAAGCCACTGTTTTTATTACTCTTCTCCTTCTTCCAACTTCCTTGGCTGTCAATGAGCTGAGGCTTTAGTTTGGACCACACCACAGGTAATTCAGGGAATGAAATGAATTGAAAGATGGCTGAGGCTAAGCCCAGGGCATGCCCTGATTTACTGCTTGGAGCTCTGTGGATTCCAACGCTCCAAGGAGCTCACAACAGTCCCAAGGAATTTGGAAAGCAAGAGAGGGCTAGCCCAGAGTAAGGTGCAGGTCCACGCACTGGCCCTGTGTCCACCTCCCAAACACCCCACAGGATAACAGGGAAGGCACAACAGGTGGGACATCCCCAGACGTGTTCTGCAAAGGACAAAGGGCACACTGCATTCTGCCCTGCGCTCAGCTTTTCTATGGACACCAGGGAAAGACAGTACATTAAGCGACGGGTTATTGGTAGCACTTCAAGGAAAGACGTGTGTTATCTTTATATTCTGCACCCAGAGAGCAATAAGGATGGTGGGAGGGCAGGGCTGGAGAGGGCTGGGGAACAGGTGGGAAGAGTTCTTACCTCTAAAACAAGGTCTGAATCCTTATGCCTCCCAATTGTAGTACTTTTATTTAGGACAAAAAAGCCGTCTACGCTCTTTAGGTAGGCTTTCATTCTCTCTGTTTTCCCTAAATAAGGTTTTCAGAAAGATATGTGTTAGAATGATACAGTCCTGTAATTATAAAACCACAGTATACTTAGAACGAATGCAATAGACCATATCGCCAGTCCAAAGGGAGCCGTCAGCTGAGGTGGGAGTGGATGGATGACTTGACAATGGACCCAAAGGCACTTCTGCATGTTTTGAAACTATCTTCTCTAACAGTGATCTCTAGCACAGAGCAAGAGCTTGGTTCTAATCACCAAATGGAGGACACATCTTAACTCAGGGCCCAAACAAGCGCCAAACCAACCAACAGCAAATCAGAATTCTGCTGATCATTGCTCTCCATCTCCTACGAAGCTTGGTATAACGTTAATTATCTGACATGTCAAGGATTCAAGTTCAAAATTCCTAACCCACCGCCTCCTAGCTCTGTGGCCTTGGATGAGTTACTTCTTTCTCTCTTGGTGCCTCCATGTCCTCATCTGTAAAATTAGTTTTTGTGAGGATTTAATATAATGATACAGATGAAATATCTAGAATGGTGTCTGGCACACACTGAACCTTCCTTTAATGACTTCTATTGCTGCCGTTAAGATCGGCTTCTCAAACCCTGATCCAAGGAACCCTAGGCTTTTTTTTTTTTTTTTTTTTGAGACAGAGCCTCAAGCTGTCCGCCTGGGTAGAGAGTGCTGTGGCATCACAGCTCATAGCAACCTCCAACTCCTGGGCTCAAGCAAGTCTCCTGCCTCAGCCTCCCAAGTAGCTGGGACCACCAGCATCTGCCACAACGTCCGGCTATTTTTTGGTTGCAGCCGTCATTGTTGTTTGGCGGGCCCAGGCTGGATTCGAACCCGCCAGCTCAGGTGTATGTGGCTGGAGCCTTAGCCGCTTGAGCCACAGGCGCCGAGCCTACAACTGGAATTTCACTGTTTGCTTTATCACATGCTCCATTTCTACCCGTCTATCCATTCATTTATATTTTGATGCTTTTCATGCTTTTGATGCCATGCATGCTTTTTAAAAACCAATACTTCAGCAACTTCAGAACATTCTAAAATGCTGACAATGATTCATCATGATGCTTGAATTCTAACTTGAGACGTGCAGGCACACAGTGTGACATTCTCCATCCCAAGGCCACGTCAAAGAGCAAGTCCTTTTTCTCTTCAGCCAAAGTCACTAAAATGCACAGGTATTGGATGATGGATAAAAGCGAATATCATCTAGTCGTGACAGTGTGGCAGTGTTAGAGTCTCAGGGCTGGTTCTGTTTTACATCATTATCTCTGTCATCATTTACGGAGTCCCTAGTAAGGGCCAGGCACTTACCCTTGAATACACAATGACTCTTTTCATGCTCACAGCCGCCCTGCTGTGCAAGGTAGATATCATTACTGTCCCTACTTCACAGCTGAGGAAGCTGAGACTCAGAGGGGTTAAGGTCACCCAGGGGTAAGGGCAGAGAGAGGACTAGCCTTTTGTACAATCCCTACTCAGGCAGCTCGACTTTGTACTTCTCTATTGCCCCTGTGTGGGGGCAAGGGGCTGCCCTGTTGGTGACACTCAGGCCATGCAATGACAGAAAGTCCTCCCAACCAGGATTCTATCCTCTGAAAGGAAGAAAAGGATATGAAGAATGAAATAAGCCTGACGTCTATGGGAAACCCCTCCACCTCCACAAATACTGACACTTGCATATCATGAGAAATGAATTTTATTACGTTCACTGTCATTAGTAGAGGGGAAAAGACATTTCCTTTTATAAAAGAACCATGCCCTGTTGCCGTCAAATTGCCTCAGTTATTAATACTCAGTCTCAGAGGACATTAGCAAGCACCACGTTCAAGTTTAATTAATCTAAAGTGAACTTGCAAGAAATCTCTCTTCTGTGGGAAAACCACAGGAAATGCTGCCAGAGTAAATCCCAGAACTCTGATGATTTGCTAATTTGTCTTTTAGCCCTTCCTCCAGATGTTTCCATGGCTGGTGCCTTCTCTCTGCTCAGGTGTCCCCTCTTGGTGAACACCTGACCACTCTGCCTAAAGACGTCTTGTCATTGCATTGTCTAACTGGCAAGTATCTGCTATAGTTCCTCCCTTGGACTTATTTTCTGCCATTTTCCTGCCCCTTTACTTAGGTTTCCCTTTCACTATATGTTCCAAGAGAGCTAGGGTTGCATTATTTTATTTATTTTATTTATTTGCAGTTTTTGGCTGGGGTTGGGTCTAGCATATGGGGCCAGCGCCCTACTCCTTTGAGCCACAGGTGCCACCCGGGTTGTGTTATTTTGTAAAGAATTCCCATGAGTTTCTTATGTTTGTTTGCCCTCCAGATGTCCTTGGAAAGACTGTCTTTGATTTGAAGAAAATCTTTTCAAGGACATTTGGAGGGCAAACATCCCGGAGTAGTGTCCCCTCCAGGGCAAAGGGCATATTTGTTTATGATAAAGATATTGCTTCCGGAGCAAAGGTTAGGCAGGTTTGCTAGCAGTCCTTTTAAAATCTTGGGGTTCCTTAGCTGGGGGACATAGGGCCACTGTGTGCACAGCTCCCACCTGGGCTGTTCTGCATCACCTGAGGGGCTTGGGGGGGGGGAGGGACGGGGAACCAACCCAAACGTGAAGCTCTGGCTGCCTGTTGTGCTGTGAATAATAAAAGTCCTTTGTCTCTAGCCCTGGAGTCTCCAGTCTTCTGCCAGCATCTGTTAAGCAGTTCCAGTCTAACTCAGTTAGCTTGCAAGTATAGTAACAGCTCAGATCCTTCCCAGTTTCCCACAGTTTTGTTCATTACACCTTCTCTAGCCCCCACAGCTGCCAGGTGGTAGATGCTCAAAAAGGTATTTGCTGAATGAATGAAAATACGAAATGGGGCCATAAAGTGAATCACTACAGCTTAGGAGTCTTTGATGATGACTGCTTTTCATTTTCCCCTTCTGTACCTGCCCTTGATGACATTTTGAAAAACTTAACAGTCTCTTTCTTTAGCTGTCTGGGTTGGGCAATCTTTCTCCACCTTAATCTTGCCTTGTGCAGTCACCTGCTTACCTGAGAACACCGTAGAAAATGATGTGGCTCAGCGCCTATAGCTCAACTGGCTAAGGCACCAGCCACGTACACCTAAGGTGGCGGGTTCGAATCCCCAGCCCGGACCCGCCAAACAACAATGACGGCTGCAACCAAAAAATAGCCAG